GAATATAAAATATTTTTTTAATTACTTACATATATAATATTATGGCAAAACTAATTAACTAACTAATACCAGTACCATACAGAATAATTATAAATTGTAATACTGTATTATTTTGAAATGTGAATTTTGAATTTTAAACAATTTAATTTTAATATATTGTTTATGATTTATGTAAATAAATATATAAAAGTATATATTTATGAAGTATAATTATTGCATTGAAGCTATCTATATTAAAATTATTAAAAAATTCTTTTTATTTGACAAAATATTAACAAGAAAATGAAATACTTTATACTCGAGTAGATATTTGTGTCACTCAAAGGCCAAGGATTTCTATCATTTAATGTTTTATTAATTATTTCCTTTCGTTCAATAAGTTATTTGAAATGTTTAAATTTTTCACTCAAATTCTCATTAGAAACAATTAATTGTAATTTTTTAATTAATACATGTTTTTAGTTAATGATATGCATATTTATTAGCTAAATTATTTTTTAAACATTTTTAAAGTGTTAATAATATTTCAATTCAAGCAAAATATTTTTTAATAATAAATAGACATATAAATTACACTGTATTTTGTTTAATATTACTTCAATTAAAGATTTAGAATTTTAATTTTAAAAAATATATATTTTATAGTACAAGTGTAACCCTTTTAAAAATATAACTAATTTTATAAGTTAAAAATTAAATATTTTTTATTTTGTAGGTTATAAATAAGGGTCAAAAATATTATTGGCAAGATATTTAAAAAATAGTATAATTAAAATATAATTTTTAGTGATTTTATTAATAAATTATAATTTTAATCATTGACTGCATATAAAATAATGTTTTCAAACCTTGCTTATAAGTTAAAAATATTAAGTTAATTTATCTTTAATAATAATTTTGAAAGCTCGTTAAACTTTTGGAAATACATAAATAATTTTTTGCAATTAATTAACATCCGATCCTTAATTAGTTAGTACTGTATATTACTTTTAATCAAAGTTTTTACGGACTATAAAATATTGTTAAAATTTAATCAAATAATCTTTTTTATACTTTAGGATTAATCAATACAAGCCATAATTAACTGGATAACAAATGAAAGTCTTTTATATATGCTAACATTAGTGCAATGAATGCAATGAAATGCTATTGAAAGAAAGTTTTGCAAAGCCTTTTGCTGTGATATGTATTTTTATCAATTTACTGGACACCAGTTTGTCGGCTAAAACAAAATTAAAGTATGAGTTACCAAAACTGGAAGGTTTGTCTCATAAATAAATGCCTTAACCTTAGAACTATATTAAGAAACATTTCAATATTTGACTCAAAAGGATGTGAAATAATTGGTTATCCAAATGCAACGATCAATGAATGCGGTTATTGTGTCGGCGATAACACGGGTCTCGACGGAGACTATGGAAAGGACTGCGAAGGAAGTAATGGCACATATTTTATGCATTTATTTCATAAATATTGCTTTTAAAAGGATATTAATTTCTAATCATAAATATATCCCAAAAGTATGTTTCGGTGAAACAGTTATCGATTGCGAAGGAGTGTGTGGAGGAAATGCATACATAGACGAGTGCACCGGTATATGCATTACTGCAGGTATGATACCATAGCTTACATTTATTTTTGATCAATAAATTAGTAATCGATTTGCAAACTAATGCCTTAACAAATTATTTTACGTCATTTCCTAATTTATCGACTATTTATAGACCAATCGGTCACTAAAGAGATTAACGGATCGGTGAGCCGTGACTGTCGAGGACTATGTATTCCTCCGGAGTTATCGCGACCGCAACAACAGGCCTATGATAGGGATGAGTGCGGAGTTTGTCGACTTCAAAGCACTGAGAAGTCGGCATTTGTTGACTGTCTGGGCAACTGTCAGGTGTTGGGCTTAGAGAAGGTGTCACTTGTGTGCGGACAGTGTGTCGAGAAGAACGCTCAGGTGATGGACGAGTGCGGCCACTGTCGCAACCATAAGCATATCTGTTCATGTGATCGGTTAGTCTCTCAATCCATTCAATCCAATGCTCTAACGGCTGTCTCTCACATCTCATACACAGAGACGCATCCATTTGCGGCTGTAATGACCCAAATAACTGCTATAATGTCAAAGCAGTCAATCCACGTGCCGTTCCTAACAATATCGACGCTAAGGTTAGTTTCATTCAAATCTCAGTTTACTGCTATATTTTTACCATCAAAATCGTTTATCTTTATTATTTATCTCTAGCTTTTGCTTTCGGGATATTTTCATCCCGTTGTCAGAGACTTGAATTGTCTTCTGGAGAATGAGGTGACGGGAGATATCTTATCGTTTCCCGTCTCATTCATTCATAAAAATAAAACAGCACTCGAGTGCACCGTTAATTTAAAAAAAGGTCAGTCCAAAGCTTTTTAAAAAATTAATATTTTCATAATGAGCCATTTTTGCATTTTATACATAAATTAGACATGAGTTATAAATAGACATGAATTCATTTTGAACACAAATCCAATCCCTTTATTAAGTATTCAGATATAATATAAATGAGAGTAAAAGTTTACCAAAAAATTGAATGGAAATATGTAAATCATGTCTATATTTATTAATTTCTTTTTATTTTAACTTTCTATTGGCGTATAGAATATAAACCATATTAATTATTTAACTTTTATGTTAAAGTTGCAGTTATTTGAAGGTTATATTAAATTACAGCTATTCTAATGAATCGATAAATTAATGCAAAACATTTAGTGTGACTTTTATTTGTATCGGAATGTATGCAAAAACTATAATTTATGTAATATTTTTGGCCTCAATTCTTAGCATTAATACCAGATTCTGGGCATTCAATTGACTGTATATATAATTGAGCTAATCTACAAATACTTATACAGTAATAGAAAATTGTTTTCATTTCCATTCATCAAAATTGATCATTTATTTTATGCATTTGCAAGACTTATGAAAATAAGAATTTAAGACTTATTTTTGATAGTTTTGAACAAATTATTAATGAAGTGAATCGCGTGATTCAAATCGTTTAGGACTTTGTTTTATCTGAAAATCTTGGATCAAATGAAACAAAATTCAAATAATATTAAAGCACAGCATTATTAAAGTGAGGCAAAAGTTACAAAAACCTTTTGTTAATGAAAAATAAAGTTTTATGCTTTGCTCTCATTTATTGCTAAGAAATGTCATAACGACTAATGACTTCAATCTTTTATTAATACACTACATGTTTGTATTAAATCACAGTTATATTGCAATCATATTAAATATAATCCTAAACATAAAACTGATTTCTGTTTTATTTGCAATATTTTTGTCGACCAGAAGGAAGTTATGTAATAAGTTTGGGAATAATCAAGAATTCAATCAATTCTTTTCGCAAAGATTTCATTCGGCTTATAGTTTACGATCCAAAACAGGGTATGTTTTGCATGAAAACAAGAATCTGATTAAAAATATTCTCTATCCTATTATTTATTAATGAATGCAATGTTTTTGACACATTAGTCGAGAGATTATTTGAAGAAAGCGAAATGTTTCCCAAGAATATCACCACAAAAGAGTCCAATGAAACAATTAATTTGCAATTCACTGATCCCTCGAATTCATTGTTCGGAATCCCCTTCCGATGTCAAGTGCTATACAGTAGTGACAGATCACAGCAATTGACTGATGAGACCAATCAATTGCACTCGTGTTCACTAAATCCATCAAAACTTCGCTCTCAGTCGCAAACTCTAGACATAAATCCCACTTTTGATGGCATTAATCTATTATCAAACTCATTCAAACTCAACATAACAGCCCCTTCGCCTCAAATATCACATCAAAACTGTTATGTTTCTGAAGACGGTTTGGCAGTAATCATAATGTTTGAAACACCCGTTCATATAACACAACATTCACCACAAAATTCACTACTAGTTTGCGAACAATTGCTCACAAATGAAACGATTGATTACTTGAGTTTTTACGGACTCAAGAGCTGTCTGTGGGCTTCAAAAATACAGTTAATTATAACGACTGAGAAAACTATTTCCGAAAATTCAGTTCACATTAAATTCAAGAAACATGTGATTAAAGAAAGCGATCAAACGATAGCCCTTTCAAACCCAAAACAACTGGAAGTAATCATTGGTAAGCTGTCGGCTGAGCCGAGTTGGTGGAGCTATGAGCCACACATCGCCGTCACCGGACCCTCAGAAGTGCCCGATTGTGGTATCTTTGCACTCGTCGGCCACTTCTCGTCGTTAGTTTGCTTACATTTGTGTCAAATTGACATTTAGTTATTCATAAATCATTATTTATGTCCACTTAGCCCGAGAGGAACGACAGACGTCCAGTTCCAGTGGGAAGTGGTGGGCGATGTGGGCACTGACTTGAAAGAGCACATCCAATCCAATGGCAAGTCTACTAACCTTATACTGGACGCAGACTTCTTTGAATACCACACGCCATATAAGTTCGTATTCCGAGCCTTCATTCCAGTGAGGGATCAGACTCTAGAAGTGGGACACACTTTGGTTAAACTCGATTACGACTCACCCGTTGTCTCCATATATCACACCAGACTTTTGCAGTCCACCCCATTATCCGCAGATCAGGACATCTTATTATTGGCTGATATATCAGTCCCGGAATGCGTTTTCCCGGTCCAGGTCTCACACATTTAAAGGCGTTTTATTTTTAATTAGTTTTTAATTCATATATTGGTTACAATTTATTTCACAGAAAATAATCTTAGTTTGGAAAGTAATTGATCCGCGAATACTATTCCCATTGAATGACACAGCGCTAAGACATTCGATATCATATGAAATCAAACCCAATTCAGTGCCCACGGATCGGGCCATTGATGTATATTTGAGCGCATTCTTAGGGCATCGACACAACGAGACGAGTGGCGCCCGGTTTACGTTTGTCTCGTCTAAAGCTCCTCTCAAAGCCAGTATAGCCAACGGTTCCACAAAAATAACCATTGGTTCAAAGAGTGGTCCCTTTAGGCTGACATCGAAAGCCTCGAAATCCAATCGAAGTCTAGTCTATCAATGGAGTTGTCACGAGAGCCGTACGGCTCAGCCCTGTTATCACAACTTTAGTGCTTCCAATGAATTGAGTAAAAATAGTCCATTACTTATAGATAGGACTCTTCAGACACAACCAGAACTCGAGTTAGACTCGACTTACTTTCAACCAAACAAACAGTTTTGGTTTGGTTTACAAGTGTTTGATAAAAACGATAGGAAAATATTTTCAGAAACAGAATACACTTTAGTAAAAGTGGTGGACGGGTTGGCGCCCCAGGTGTTCATCGGACCCCTTTATATCAAAGGAGACCATTTAGTCCCATATAATGCCCAACTCTCTACTCATTTAGTCCCGGCCCGCACTTCAGTCACTGTCACCGGTATAATAAAAGCGACCAAATATGTAAATGTGAACAGTATCAAATGGGAGGCACCCAATGGCATGTATGATCTGAATTGGGACTGGAGTCATGTCGGCGATGAAATCCATACACAACTTCATCTACACGAATGTAATTCACTTTTTATGTTACTTTAATTCATGTATTCAATTATCAAAATCTTATTCATCAAGCTCAAATCATGGCGTTTGGTGTCTATAATGTTAAACTGATTGTCTGTAATGGGAAGGACCTGTGCAGTGATGTCGACACTTCTCTAATGGGTGTCCAAAGTGTGTCGATGTGTGAGCTGTCTGTCGAGCACTTCACTGAATATCAATTAGTAAGTCATAAGTAATAAGTTGTAATTTGAATTCAATTCAAATGTCTGTCAATCGCATCACTAGAGTATAGCCAACGTCGAGAAGTGCAACACTCCTCCAAACGCAGCTCCGCTCACATATCAGCTCTTCTTAGCCGATGAAAGCCTTCCGAACCCTTTGCCACTATCTGTGCCACAGTTTTCTGGAGTAATAAAGTTTATGGGAACACCTATTCCCGGCTCCAAACCCATCACACGATTTGCAGCACGCGTATGTGATAAGTTTGGAAACTGTGAACTCTATTACTCTGCGTCCGTAACCATTGAACAGTCGACGAACGAGACGTCAGCCATAAGTGACTTATTGAAAATCGCCAAAAGATACCAAACGGCCGGTGACTCCATCGGCGCCTTATCTGCATTGGGAACTGTCCTCATCAAACACAACTCACATGTGTTTCCAATTACTGAGAAAGTGATCAACGATTCCATTGAATACTCAAGACATGCCTTAGAGCTCACTAATCAAATGCTTTCTGAGGGTCACCTCTCTGTCGTCTACACCACTCTCTCTAATGCACTCTTAAAAAGTCAAAATGTTTTGTCAAAACGACAATTACTGGCATTAATACAGAAATATACCCAAAAAGCCATTGCATTGAAAGTGTATCCAAGAGTAGAGACAATTAAAATCCTTTACTTCAATCTCATGAAATCATTTGTTAAAAGCAAAGCCCAGAGTCATTCAAATCTGATCAATGATTTAGTCTTATTAGAAGACATCCAGAATACCATCAAAGCTGTCAGATCTATGGCCGCCTCTCAGACACCATTGGGTTCTACTCTGAGACTCACGAGTACTGAGGAGAGAGCGGGATTTGAGGCGGACATTGCCGTCACTGAAATCATTCACAGCTATAAAGTGTACGACACGAGCATTAGAGCCAATTTGGACGCAAACACAACGGTGGAGGCGAAGATCAACTTCGGTGAAGAAGTCAAACAAAACTTCAGTTCATTTTGGAATTGCGGACAAACAGTGAGCTGTCAGAGTGTCATCTTCTCTGTCACTATATATCCCAATGAGAATCCATTTCCATCCAAAGAGGAATCCTACAAACTGTCGTCAGTGATAGAGCTGTCGATTCACGCGCCCAATACGGGTGAAGAGCAGATCGTGAGGGGTCTGTTCAAAGCGGCCGCTTTCCAGACCACTATCACCGGCAATGCCAGCGAAGGCGGATCTGATTACATCACAAAATGCTATTATTTCGACCGACATTTGAGAAGCTGGAGAGTAGACGACGTGCACCCACTGGGCATCGCCTATAAGCGAGTGGGCTGTTGGTCGGGACACCTCTCAACGTTCGTTGTGTTGCGAACTGTGGCCGGAATTAGTGCTGATTATGTGATAGGAGTGCTGGTGGCCTGCCTTATGGGAGTCCTTGTGTTTGGAATTATGGTTGTATTCTTCGTGCAGAAGAAGAGAGAGGACACCAACAGAATATCTCCCAAACCTATCGCGAGTCCACCGAAAAAGCCTTTAGAAAACCCGCGATACAGACATTCAATGCAAAATGGGATTGAAATTCAAACGGCATCCCAATCAGTGCTGATCACAGACTAAATGCAATCAATTCATTCAGTAATAAACATATTAGTTATATATTTTTAACTTAATTATAATCTATTTTAAATAATTTATTCAAATAAAAGTCACCTAACTGATTATGGACAATTAATTTACATATATTTATACTGTCAACAAAATCAGAAATAATTATTAAATTTCTATATTTAATGAG